CAAAAATATCATTTTCAACTTCAAATTCCAACATTTGAAGATGGCTAATGCATGGAGGCAATAGGAAAACATGGGAGGTAATTGCATTATTATTTCCTGTGTCAATGATTTTTAAGGGTGGGAAATAATGCCCATGGTCGTATAATAGTGAGTTGATAACCTATTGAGCAAAAGACATGAAATAATTATGTTTTGACTTTCTTAGAAAATATGAAATTCTCGCTTTAATGTGTATTTGTTATTTCTTGTTTTTCAGTATTTGGTTGTGGACAGTTCTCTCTTTAAACCACTATATCGTGCTTGCAAAAGAAAAAAAGATACACCACAGTATAAATTAATATCAAACGAATTAGTTGATTGGCCTATGGTTGGTCAGGTGACGTACCAATCAACCAATGACATACCAGATAATACAGTTGCTATAGAAGTTAACCAATCATAATTGTAGTTAAAATAAGGCGAACAATTTTGAGTAAATTCTTAACTTAAATCTAAGAATGCTTTGTGAACTCGGGGCTTGGTTCTAGGACAAACCTTCCCAACAACTTTATGCCCAGATTTTTTTAAATCGATAGAAACCAATGTAAACTTTAAATGGTGTTAATTTTTATTTGGTCTTAAACTCTATATTTAGGCCATACAAAGTTGATTTTCAGTTCTTCAGGAACATCTGTTAAAAAATTTCTTATTTCTCCCGTGAAAAAGACCAATTTAAAAACCAAACGTACTTGGTAGCACTGTTTAAAAGCTTTTAGTTCCTAATATTTATGTTTTGAAATTTTAAACAAATTCTCTTTCACGTGATTCAATTGGCTATTTATTTATCAGTAACTGGAGAACTGAAAATTAAAAGTGGTTTGACCTTATCTGTACTGATATTTATGTATTTATACAATTGTTCCACTGATGTCAGTGTCAAGACTCAAAAAAGAAAACAAGAAAGAAATTGTTAAAGTAGCAATAAATTTATGCCAGTCAGAATAATTTATCATCATTAATCCATCTTAATTGAAATGAATTCTTGAAAATGCATTTTAAAAGTCTAACAGTTTAAGTTCTGGTATGTGCAATATTGTTGAATAACACCCATTTTTTATCTATATATAAATTGCAATATCTCCAAAGTCTAGAAATGGTTCAATTCAGTATTGACCAAAATATGATGAATTTAAAATTTGTTAACAGTCGATCAGCGTCACCTATAATCTTTACTAACATCTTTTAATGGGCCTCTGATAGAATACAAACCCAGAGTTGACGTCTTTCTAATCTGATTGAATCAAAGCCTGAAGATAATCTATTTTGATTCTTAAACTATAACACATACTTATGGAAAAACAGCTACTAATTTATTTAGGCGACATTACGAAGAGTAGTCCCTCAACATCATCAACGTTATTAGTCTGATAAGGTTGAGAAAATGCACTTCGAAACGTCGCCTAAATAAATCAGTAGATGTTTTTCCATAAGTATGTTTTATAGTTTATTTATCTACCTAGGTACAAAATGCCACTTAAAGAATATTTTGATTCTGTTTTCTTAATTAAATATTAAATAAATTGTTTCAATGGCATTTAGTAATTGAACTATAGTATACAGGTCACAATTCTATAGAATGCAATTACTGCTTATTACTGAGCGACGTTTCAATTTGAGCTCTAGTCTTTATCAAGTGGGGGTTGGATGGTGAAATGGTTAGCATGTGTGTAGTATAATAAGGTCTGTCATTGAGTCAACTGGTGTGGTTTCAATTCCGCGGTTGTATGTGACAAGGAGTAAGGCCACCTGTCTAACCTCGTGGGTTTCTCTGTTTTTCTGTCAGTAATAAGCAGTAATTGTATTCCATAGAATTGTGACCTGTATAATTGTTAACATTTTAACCTTGATTAAGCTGTGAAATATTTGATATTTTCTGAAAAGACAAAGGATGGCCAATTACTTGACAACTACCGATTGTATTTAGTTTATATTTAAAGGACAGGTGAAGATGGGAAACAGAACAAATATTATTTATTTTCATAGAGAAAAGTTGAAATTGTCGAATTAATAATAGTTATATATTTTTGAAGATAAGTGATGAAATTGTCAATTTCATACATTTTATTTTCATAGATGAAATGGTCGATTTGATCTATTATTTATTTTGGTAGATAAATGAAGAAATTGTCGAATTAATAATTGTTAAATATTTTTGAAGATAAATGCTGAAATTGTCAATTTCATACAATTTATTTTCATAGATGAAATGGTCGATTTAATTTTATTATTTATTTTCGTAGATAAATGAAGAAATTGTCGAATTAATAATTGTTAAATATTTTTGAAGATAAATGCTGAAATTGTCAATTTAATTCTTTTATTTATTTTCCTAGAAAAATGATTAAAAGGTCGACAATTTATTTTCATAGATGAAATGGTCGATTTAGTACTATTATTTATTTTCCTAGATAAATGATGAGAAAGTCAATTTTAATAATATTTTATAACTGTAAATAATTGGAAGGGAGCAAAATGGTTTTTTTATAAAAGATATTTTTATTATATTTTAATTATGATATTGTGGCCATGAAAATGCAATAATTTGCATATTGTTAAATATTATGAACAATGGAACAAAATAAATACTGCTATTTTAACATGTAGTTGTTTTATGAATTGTGGGGGATCACGCTGACTAAGTGGGTAAGATGCTGGCTCGCTAGCCTGGAGGTCGGGTGTTCGATCCCTGCATTGGCTGAGAAAGTTCATCCAGATTTTCCGGCGTGGTTTGCCCTTGTCAGTGATGCAGGACGGAGGACCTGACAAGGACAGCTGTTCAGATGGGATGAAAAACCGAGGTCCTCTAACACATTGGTGTGCATGTAAAAGATCCCTTAGCAGTTGGAATTCGATATTATTATAAGAGGAGGCCATAGTGCCGCTGCCCGGGGAAATTTCCCTCATAGCACACTGTATGGCGTATGCCTGTCTTCATTAGCCCAGTATAGGAGCAGAACAGTAGGACTTTAAACCCCATTTCATTTACGAATTGTGAAGTAATGTCCTCCTGTTCTGCTCCGACTGGGCTAATGAAGACAGTCATACACCAGGTTGCTATTTTATATGTGGTCCCCGGTTGTACGTGACAAGGAGTAGGGTCGCTTGTTCAACCTTGTGGGTTTTCTCCGGATCCTCTTGTTTCCTTCCACTGCTAAAGAGCCCTATGCACAAGCGAATTATTGAAATACAAATTGAACTATATGTTAGTCCCGTGGACGTTAAACCCCATTTCTCTCTCTCTCACTATATGTTAGTCCCGAAATGACCTAGTTTGTGTTGAGTGGACGTTAAACCCCATCTCTCTCTCTCTCTCTCTCTCTCTCTCTCACATATGTGGTTGTTTTGGTAAAATGAAATGTGACTTAATGTCCAACTGTTCTGCTCCGACTGGGCTAATGAAGATAAGTGTTGGCTATGAGACAAGGTGGCTCCTGAAATCAAATGGGGTTTAACGTCCGCCTTTTCTAGGCTAAATGCAGTGTTTATGAGTAACATCTTGCCCAGACAGCAGCATTTCCATCTTCTCCGCACATCAAATTCCAACTGCCAGGGACTGTTTATATGCTTGGCATATAGAATTTCAGTTTGTATGAAAAATTGATAGGTTGTGGGGCTTAACGCCCGCTTTGGGGATTTGGTTGTTCATAGGGCTTAACGCCTGCTGTGAGGGTTTGGTCGTTCATGGGGCTTAACGTTCGCTATGAGCGTTTTATAGGTTGTAGGGCTTAACGCCCGCTGCGAGGGTTCGACAAGGCTTAACGTCTACTATGAGGGTTTGACAGGGCTTAACGTCCGCTATGAGGGTTTGATAGCTATCAGGGTTTGGTCGTTCATGGGGCTTAACGCCTGCTATGAGGGTTTGGTCGTTCATAGGGCTTAACGTTCGCTATGAGCGTTTTATAGGTTGTAGGGCTTAACGCCCGCTGTGAGGGTTTGGCAGGGCTTAACGTCCGCTATGAGGGTTTGATAGCTTGTAGGACTTAACGCCTGCTATCAGGGTTTGGTCGTTCATGGGGCTTAACGTTCGCTATGAGCGTTTTATAGGTTGTAGGGCTTAACGCCCGCTGTGAGGGTTTGGCAGGGCTTAACGTCCGCTATGAGGGTTTGATAGCTTGTAGGACTTAAAGCCTGCTATCAGGGTTTGGTCGTTCATGGGGCTTAACGTTCGATATGAGCGTTTTATAGGTTGTAGGGCTTAACGCCCGCTGTGAGGGTTTGACGGGCTTAACGTCCGCTATGAGGGTTTGACAAGGCCTAACGCCCGCTGTGAGGGTTTAGTAGCTTGTTGAGCTTAACGTCCGCTATGAAGGTTTAATAGCTTGTAGGGCTTAAGCTCAAGTACCGTGGGTTCTATTCCCCGCACGTACGTAACCAGGAGTAGGATTTCTCTGGTTACCCCCCACTGCTAAAGACGCCTAAGCGCATGTGAATTAATGAAAATGAAACGAACCATATGTTAGTTCCGAAGTGTCCTCTCTCTCTCTCTCTCTCTTTCACTCTCATGTTGATCTATTAACCGCGGCCACAGATAGCCAGATTCTGGGAGATTATTATAATCTTCTTCCTCTATAGTGCCTGACTCTAGTACAGTGTAAATATGCACTGGCGCATCTCGAAAGACAGCTAAAAACCATCTGGCTTGTATGTACAGTTACATACAATGTAATGTGTGAGAGAGAGAGATGGGGTTTATCGTCCACTCGACAGAAACTACATGTAGGTTATTTCGGTACTGACGTATGGTTCAACTGTATTTCAATAATTCGCTTGCGCGCAGGGGTCTTTAGCAGTGGGAGGAAACCGGAGAAAACCCACGAGTTTGGACAGGTGACCTTACTCCTTGTCACGTACAACCGGAGAATCGACTCGACGCCAGTTGACTTAATGACAGACCTTATGATACAACGCGCACGTGCTAACCATTCGACCATCCAACCCCCCGATTATTATAATAACAATACTACAAAAATAATTGTTAATTCATACGTAACATATACAATCATAATACTGTTTTAAAAAAATATTAATTCGATTAAAAAACACAGATCCAATTTCTTTTAGTTTTTTATAGTTTAGAATTTCGTTTGATATATATTACAGTTTTACCTGCAACCTGATTAAAACACAGATCTTATTTCATTTCGTTTTTTTTTTATTATTCAAAATTATATTTGTCTTTACTACACTGGGATCTGGATGAGTTGTTATGTAATCGGCGTTCTGGATGATGGGAGGGATTAGCCAATGAAACGGTATGTTACGTCGAGTTTTTGGCGTGTGGCGCACGGAACTGTGGGTAATCCATTAGAAACGTCAACGCTGATTGGTTAGTCAAATGTCTGACGTCATAGGGTCAGAAGCCGCTCTTACGATTCCTGACCCGACCTCCGTTTTACGTCCCATTTTCCGGCGTGGTTTCCCCTTGTCAGTGATGCAGGACGGAGGGCCTGACAGGGACAGCTGTCTAGTCGTTCAGATGGGACGAATCGAGGCCCCGTGTACGCATTGGAGTGCACGTAAAAGATCCCTTGGCAGTTGGAATTCGATATAAGAGTAGGCCGTAGCGCCGCTGCCCGGGCAAAATTTCCCTCATAGCCCATCTTCATTAGCCCAGTTTAGGAGCAGAACAGTAGGTCGTTAAACCCCATTTCATTTCATTTTATTTTTCGAACCATCCGAAAGACTAAACAGCTGTCCTTGTCAGGCCCTCCGTCCTGCACCTCTGACAAGGGGTAAACAAGCCGGAAAATCTGGATGAAATTTCTCGCCCAATGCAGCGATCGAACACCCACGAAGCGAAATATATATCTGTATTTTAATCAGATTGAAAAATATTTACCGAAATGATTAGGAGACATTGGATTAAACATGATATTAATGCTAGTGTTGTAAATATGCTAGGTTCCGTTTGATGAGTTATGGCATTCTCCACACAAGTCGCGCTATCCAGCAAGGGAAGACAACTCTGTTTGGGAGATTGGAGTTATAGTTGACCAAATGAGAGATGAATAGTTAATTTTTTATTTTATTTTATATACCGCCCTCCACACAAATCCCGTCCGCTTCATCACTTTTCCATACTGTTCCATACGGACACCCACATATAGTATCAGACACAGGTGAACATGGAACCAGAGCCACTTGGGTCATTTCACAAACTGAACAATCGGCACACGACAACGAAAAGTCGGCTTTTTGATTATAGGTGTCTTCTGGACAAGGTTTACAAACGGATTTTCCTCCTTTTACTTGGCATGGTTTCTCCATGTACATGCCCATATCACACGGCTGACATTTCAAACGATTCGACCCCAGTACCTGAAAGTAAATATAGAATGTTATAAAATTGTTATAAAAGTGTTCTGTTTGAATAGCAGTCCCCATTAGAACCCTGGACTGAACGACGGGTTGGTCCTCGTTACCACCCTGGGTTGAACGACGGATTGGTCCCCATTACAACCCTGTGTTGAACGAACGGTTGTTCCTCATTCATTACAACCCTGGGTTGAACGAACGGTTGTTCCTCATTCATTACAACCCTGGGTTGAACCACCGGTTGGTCCTCATTCATTACAACCCTGGGTTGAACGACCGGTTAATCCTCATTCATTACAACCCTGGGTTGAACCACGGGTTGGCCTTCGTTACAACCCTAAGTTGAACGACAACTTACTTCTCGTTTCCACCCTGGGTTGATCGACGGATTGGTCCCCATCACAACCATGGGTTAAATTCTGCGATCAGAATATGAGCATAACATGACAAACGAATGGGGGAACGGCGATACTCCTTTAAAAGAATAACAGCTCTGTGTAGCTGCTGGATTAAACGGGGATTATTAAATATCTATTAAAGGGAGAGAGAGAGAGAGAAATGGGGGTTAAACGTCCACTCGACACAAACTAGGTCATTTCGGGACTAACATATGGTTTAATTTTATTTCAATAATTCGCTTGCGCATAGGGGTCTTTAGCAGTTGGAGGAAACCGGAGGACCCGGAGAAAACCCACGAGGTTGGACAGGCGACCCTACTCCTTGTCACGTACAACCGGGGATTCGAAACCACGCCAGTCAACTCAATGACAGACTTTATAATACAGCGGGCGCACGCTAACCATTCAGCCATCCAACCCCCCATCTATTATCATCCACACTCTTCGACATTGTAAACACGACTTATTGGTCAATTTAAATCAACAAATATCCAATATTTAAGACACAATGAACATTTTAAAATTGGCATACGAATCGCGTGCCAGAATGCTTTCGAGCGCCATTTGTATAAAGAAGAGACTCTATGAACGAGGCTAAATATGTCCCACATGAGAATAGTACCGATGTAGACTGGAATAACCCGTTGCCAAAGACTGCCATTCAATTTGGACTTTTCGCGTATTTCGCCGAACATAACTGATTAGAAATTACAGTAAAAACAGAAACGATTGAATGTAAATCAGTTTACATACATTCATATTACATTATTATATGCGTTGCTACGCATTTGTGTCAATTTCTAGGTCCAAAATATTAGCGATTTAGCTCCTGTAATTTCTAATCAGTTATGTTCGGCGAAATACGCCAGAGTCTCAATCGAATGGCAATCTCTAGCATCTGGTTTTCCAGTCTACACCGATAGTATTTATTGCGAATGCTCTCTCGATAAGAATATGATGTCACTGTTTGACATGACTTGTGGAATATGTCTAGCCTCGTTCTTCGAATCCCTTGTTACAAATGGCACTGAAACGCATTATGGTACTCGATTCGTGTACCAATGGTAAAATGTTTATTTTGTCTTAAATATTTGATATCAGAAGCCCATCTTTTCCCAGTAAGATCACAATATCAATGTTGATTTAAATTGACAAATAATTCGTGTTTTCTATGTCCAAGACTTTGGATGATATTGAGTTAGAGACTTAGCTACTTTAATATCGTCATTATTAAATGCGTTGCGACCCATTTATGTCATTTTCTAGGTCCCAAATATTAGCAATTTATCTACTTTAACATCGGCATTAAGTCCGTATAAGTTCGGTGTCGTTTTCAAAAATAAACTGACATTACCGTTTAATATCGTTTCTATTTTGAATTACATGTACATTTATATGATGATGAACACAATTCACTGCTCAAAAAATATACACGGGATTCATAACAAAAACAACTTTACATAACTTTAGATTCATGCCTCGCTGAAAAACATATATTTTGAAGTTGTCGAACTTTATCACAATTGGGGCTCGTATTTTCTTTATTATATCTACGCCATCTTTTTTACAAACATATCGAAGCAGTGAAGCAGACGAAACATCCAGTAGTTGAAATAACTGCTTTTCATTTATACTTATGTCACGTTAACTTTTAATAACAAAAAAACCCTATTTGTACCCATTCAGTAACAGAGGAATGTTCAGGGCCGACTTGATATCTTGTTTAACAGTCTTTATTTATTAATATCTCCATAGCCATAACTGAGGTCATACCCCTGAATAGACATAGTAATGAAATGAAATGGGGTTTAACGTCCTACTGTTCTGCTCCGAACTGGGCTAATGAAGACGGGCATATGCCATACAGTGTACTATGAAGGAAATTTTGTCCGGACAGCGCAATACGGCCTACTCTTATATCGAATTCCAAATGTCAAGGGATCTTTTACGTGCACGCCAATGTGTACACGGGACCTCGGTTTTTCGTCCCATTCGAACGACTAGACAGCTGTCCTTGTCAGGCCCTCAGTCCTGCATCACTGACAAGGGAGAACCAAGCCGGAAAATCTGGATGAACTTTCTCGACCAATGCAGCGATCGAAAACCCGACCTCCAGGCTAGCGAGCCAGCGTCTTACCCACTTAGCCACCGTGATCCCCCATAGCCATAGTTAAGGATCGGATCAAGGGCTCTGTGGCACGAATATCGGCCATGCCGACGTAAAAACATGAAATAGACATGTATAGGCCCCTAAGGGCTTCATGGATCCTGGCCCGAAATACCGACTGCACTCCTAACAGGACCCCCCCCCCCTCCTCTCCTTGGGCCTCTGCTCACTAGACCACGAATGTGTGAACCTATGAACTGGTGAACTCATTTTTATAATAAACAGCATTTTAATATCTAAAAGTAAAAAACGAAACTTTGACAGTTGAAACAGATGTTAGACATCCTAGTCTATATATTGTGATTTGTGGCCCGGCAAACTGGTATGTCGGCAATTTAAAACCGACAATGTGAATTCAAACAGGAAAATGACGTCAGATTTAAAACATCCTAGACCAACTTTTCTTAGAAGTCAATGTTAAAAGTTATATTTAGGTCTCTCCATTGCGTGTATATAATAATCTTTTAATAGGTAATAAAATATTTCCTGTATTATTATATAAATCTTGTAACAGGTATTCTAATATACTATCTGTCTATCTACCTGTATTATTACAGGTAAATCTACACTTACCTGTATTGAGTACATAACCAACAGGAGTAAACACGTTTTTATAATCATATTGGTATAGTTCTCCCTAAAATCAACAATCAAAAACAATTTATGTAAACAAAATATATCACCTGAAAAATGAATTTGTGTCACGTTTTTGTTTTAAAATCTATCAAGAATCTAACTAATTATACAGGTGACAATTCTATGGAATACAATTACTGCTTATTACTGAGCGACAAGCAGTAAGTGTGTTCTATAGAATTGTCACCTGTATATTCCAGTTCAATTACTAAATGAAATGAAATGAAATGGGGTTTAACGTCCTACTGTTTTGCTCCGAACTGGGCTAATGAAGACGGAATTACTAAATGCCATTGAAACAATTTAACAAAGAATCTAATTCACGAGTTTATTTTTTTAAAATGACATCACACCTGTCTGTTATAAGTTGTGTAGGTAAAGGTTGTACCCCCCCCCCTACCCCCAGCCCATCCTTCTCCCCTTACACGCAAAAAAACACCATTTAAAAAAACAATGTTTTCGTGGAAAAATAAAAATGTTAGGCGTCTTATTGTATTCTTCTCTATCCCATAGAAAAAAATCTTTATTTTCCAGTTCAGAGAAAGCCCCCCCCCCCCCCCACTTCTCACCGCTTCCCATCCCGCCATAGCTACGTTACTTTCTCTTATTGTCCAAGCGATTAATAAAATATTGAATACCGGAAAACTACGCAAAAATTCCCTATAATGAAAATTACTAAACATACAGATATGTTGATTTTGACTTTCCTTTTCATATATATATTGATGACGTTATTATTGATACATTCAAATACAGACTGGCATACTTACTGTAAACTGATTTAGGTCGATGGACTGTTATCGTTTCGTGTGTTTTATTCAAGTGTCAACTGTGATATGTAGCCTATATTTATAACAGCTATCTATGACATATGATAGTTAACTCTATATGCACTCAGATCAAAATACTTCCTTCTCCAAAATAAATGTAACTGAAAGTGAAATTTTTTCAGGGAATTTTGATCAAGGGATTGGTGAACAAGATATTATAACGGCAAATATTTTAAATGATATGAGTTAAATAAAAGCTGGTTTTACAGGAGTTTTTTTATTTAAAGATACATTATGTAAGATTTAGATAAAGAGCTGGCCATTCTTGCTATACTAGTTCGAAAATAGATAATGTAAAATGAATGATTTTAAAATTTCATTCGAATTACTCTATTGTGAACCAAGATATCAGCATTTGAAGGTTTGACAAGACGTGAACAATAATTTCAACCACCGTACTGGTTGTTCGAAGCCAAGTCTCACTCCTCCATTTTTAGACTCTATATGACTGAACCGTTCTAATCTATTTAATATCGGAGAAATTCGATGCCAATGAGAGTTGATTATGGTCTGGATCAGTTAATTAATGTCTAATTAATAATTTAGATAATATTCCAGGCCCAAAGAAAGACCTGCAATTGGCAGATTTAGCTCTTGCATAATGTATGTTTAAAGAAATTTAAGCTATCAAACCGGATAATATTTTATGGCACTACATTATAACAGTTACGGGATGCACCTTGTTTATTTCATCGTTATTCAACGTTTTGTTACTCTCAATATTTAACAGAGAGAGAGAGGGGGTAACGTCCACTCGACACAAACTAGGTCATTTCGGGACTAACACATGGGTCAATTTTATTTCAATAATTCGCTTGCGCATAGGGGTTTTAAGCAGTGGGAGGAAACCAGGGGACCCGGAGAAAACCCACGAGGATGGACAGTCGACCCTACTCCTTGTCAAATACAACCGGGGAATTGAAACCAGGTACGCTAGTTGACCCAATGACAGACCTTATGATACAGCGTGCACGTACTAACCATTCGCCCCCCCCCCCCCTTCCCCCAAGATGCATTATGTAAGATTTAGATTAAAAGCTGGGTTTTCTTGCTATAATAGTTCCGAAATAGATAAAAAAAAATGACTATATTGTAAATTTCATTCAAATTACTTTATTCTGAGAGACGTTATGTCTGTAGCGTAGATCGTTCATCATCACAGCAACGGTACTTGACAACCGAGACTTTGCCTCGACTGGCCACTTTATCGTTAAAATTTTAAATCTCGCGGATGTTTAAATCCATTTAAATATCGGCCATCCGACAGTCTAGAGGGTTGATTATGGGCTTTTTATGTTAATAAATGTCTGCATAATAATCCATGTAACAGTTGAAGCCACAAAAACCTGCAATAGGCAGATTTCGCTCTTACATGATGCAGCTTTAATCACGTTCCTCCTTGGGACTAGCCAACAATCCCAGCAAGTTTGAAAAAACCCTAACTGTGGCGCTTTTATAAGTTTTCATTGATAGGGGCAGTAACTTTACGAGAAATAAAAACGTTGCGTCAATATGAAACTAACACCAATTTCGTCACCATTTCTTAGGCGATTGTGTAAATGAAATGAAATGAAATGGGGTTTAACGTCCTACTGTTCTGCTCCTATACTGGGCTAATGAAGACGGGCATACGCCATACAGTGTGCTATGAGGGAAATTTTGCCCGGGCAACGGCACTATCGCCAAGGGATCTTTTGCGTGCATTCCAATGTAAACACGGGACCTCGGTTTTCGTCTCATCCGAAGGACTAGACAGCTGTCCTTGTCAGGCCCTCCGTCCCGCATCACTGACAAGGGGGAACTACGCCGGAAAATCTGGATGAACTTTCTCGGCCAATGCTGGGATCGAACACCCGACCTCCAGGCTAGCGAGCCAGCCTCCTACCCACTTAGCCACCATGATCCCCTAGGCGATTGTGTAAAACTGTGTTATTTTTTAATAAACTTCTTTTAGTGGCATGCAGTAAGTGGGTAGAGTAGTAAACTTCTTTTAGAGACATTTAGTAAGTGGATAGAGTAATGCACTTCTTTTAGTGGAATTTAGATACGTACGGAAACAGTTACTAATAGTAAGGGCAGGAGGACTGCACTAAACACAAACAAAACCGATAAGAGAAACCTGCGCACAAGACAACCAAAAGACACAAACTACACCGACATTGTAAGAAATAAACAACAAATATCAAATAAATTGAATGGGTCGGGGTATCAGCCGTTAGCGGGGGGGGGGGGGGGGAACCTGGTTTGTGTCGAGTGGACGTTAACCTCTCTCTCTCTCTCTCTCTCTCTCTCAGCAGTTAGCACCCACCCCGCTTTCTTTTGGTCGAAGTGTCTCTTTATATCATGAAGCTGATATATTGGTAGCCCAGTTCCACAAATATGTGTTACAGCTTATCAGGGAGCGGCGGTCTACGCAAAATGTTTCTATAGGCTGTGGCGCTGCTGTCTGGGCAAGTTTCCCAAATCAAAAGAACACTGCATGACGTATGCCCATCTTCATTAGCACAGTCATTAGTAAGTTTATCAAGTGGAAGTCGTTAACCATGTTTATGGGTATAGTATTTATATTATTTGTATAAGCTTACACAATATGTGTCCGTATATTGATTACAGGGCTCTCAATTCGATCGGGGGGGGGGGGGGCGGGGCAAATGGTTAGCGCGCGTTGTATCATAAGGTCTGCCATTGAGTCAACTGGTGTAGTTTCGATTCCCCGTTGTACGTGACAAGGAGTAGGGTCGCCTGCCCAACCTAGTGGGTTTCTCCGGGTCCTTCGGTTTCCTCGCACTGCTAAAGACCCCTACGCGTAAGCGAATTACTGAAATAAAATTGAACCATATGTTAGTCTCGAATTGACCTAGTTTGTGTCGAGTGGACGTTGATTCTCTGTCTCTGTCTCTCTCTCTCTCTCATTTTGCTGACCGTCATTTTATATTCCATACTTCATCCTTTAAAACCCTACAATATTCATCACTGATGTTTTTATTTTACCCCAAAAAAAACTTCCATACTAAATCTTACATAGTTTTATTCAATAAAACAACAATACAAGAAAAAAACATTTTAAACAAGTAACAAATAGCAATCCTTTAAAAAATACAGCTGCTAAAACTGAATGGATGAATAAACCACTATGGCATTAGCTAACAAATTTTATTCAGAGATTTACATGATTTATTTATGTGTAAATTTACCGTTTAGAAGATAGGTTGCCAGGCAACACAAGATAAGTTGCCAGGCAACAATACATACGACTACAGCAGCTAACATGTATTCGTATATGGGTAATTTGAGCATTTACAAGAAACTAAGAGAACCAACGGAAAGTAACAAAACAGAAATAACTTCTTCTGGTGGTGACATTTATCATCCGGTAATCAGATAACTTCCGTATCTTTCATTTTAATTTGGATCGGAAGAACCGGATTAGACATATTTAACAGTTTTACCTGGAACCCGATTAAAACGTAGATCCTATTTCGTTTCGTTTTTTTATACTTCAAAATTTAGTTTAGTCTTTACTACACTGGGATCTGGAAGGGTTGTTATATAACCCGCGTTCTGATTGATGTGTAGGATTAGCCAATGAAACGTCTTGTTACAGCTAGTTCTTGGAGAAACATCAATGCTGTAGCTAAGTCACTTAACTCAATTTCATCAAAAACCGATATTAAAAACTCGAGTTATTGGTCAATTTAAATCAACATTGATGTTGTGATCTTACCGGGAACCGATGGACTTCTGATATCCAATATTTAAGACAAAATGAATATTTTACCATTGGTTTATTTTGTCTTAAATATTGGATATCAGAAGCCCATCTTTTTCCGGTAAGATCACAACATCAATGTTGATTTAAATTGACAAATAATTCGCGTTCTCAATGTCGAAGATTTTGGATGATATTGAGTTAGAGACTTAGCTACTTTAACACAAGACTGTATAAGAAAGAATGTTAGGTAAAGGAGATATGCTCGACTTGGATAAAGGTATCAACATTGTACGAATGAAGAGAGGCAACCCTAATCCAGATGCCGCGACTTGGTATTAGTGGAAATGCCAACTCAAACACAGAGTCCATACATGTCATAAAACCTAAGACAGATCACAGAAACAGAACACCTAACCGCCACAGTTCATGCAATAACTGTGGAACAGTCATGGTAGAAATAACCAACGTAGTTGTCCAGACTGTGGTTAATGCAAAGGGTTTGACCATTTCTCTTACGTGTTTTTATATGAAACAAAGAGATGAACCGAGATCAAGAAACAGGTACAGAAATCCAAACCGATATAAAAAAAAATTCAATCAGTCAAAACAGCAGATCACAACAGAGAAACAGAGGACGCCGTAGATGTTATAGAGATCGAACACTACATCGCAATTTCCAAACATTTTGCTCGCTTGAACAAGAAGATAAAGTTACAGACGAATTTAAATCTGTGACATTTGAAACAATCACCATATGAAACAAAGAGATGAATCGAGATAAAGAAAAAGATACAGAAATCCAAACCGATATAAAAATTCAATCGGTCAAAACAGCAGACCATAGCACAGAAATGGAGGACCCTACAACGCATTTCCAGAGATTTTACTCGCTCGAGCAAGAAGATAAAGTTAGAGACGAATTTGAATCCTTGACATTTGAAACAATCACCATAAGCAGTATGGAATCTGACAGAAACCAAATATAGAAATGAAATGAAATGGGGTTTAACGTCCTACTATTCTGCTCCGAACTGGGCTAATGAAGACGGGCATACGCCATACAGTGTGCTATGAGGGCAATTTGGCCAGGGCAGCGGCACTACGGTCTACTCTTATATCGAATTCCAACTGCCAAGGGATCTTTTACGTTCACGCGAATGTGTACACGGGACCTCGGTTTTTCGTCCCATCCGAACGACTAGACAGCTGTCATTGTCAGGCCCCCCGTCACTGACAAGGGGGAACCACGCCGGAAAATCTGGATGAACTTTCTCGGCCAATGCAGCGATCGAACACCCGACCTCCAGGCTAGCGAGCCAGCGTCTTACCCACTTAGCCAACGTGACCCCACCAAACAGAGGTTAACCAAGTT